TGAGAGAACTTGGGACAAGATATTCCGAAAGTTAGCATTGTTCAATTCATCAGTTAGTGGTGATCTATAAATAGTACCGCAGGTTATTGTTTTATTTTCCAATGATATGTCAATGAATATAGATTCAAAAACCTTTTCGCACATTATAGTAATATATTTGCGGACAATGTATTTCAAATCATTTCGAATGTAGAGACTAACACCACCACCTCGGTGATGAGATCTAGGCCTACTATTGGAGATAAAAACATAGCCATCCAGTGCATTGAAATGGCCATTTGTACCAGATACAATCCATGTTTCATTCACAGCAATTACATGAGGCTTACAATTCAGTGAATTAACTAGTGAAATATCTGATATTGATTGAAAGAGTCATGAAACCACTTAGTTTAAAGCTATCGTTGAATTTAAGGGCATTGACATCACTGGAGCAGATATATTGATTTGGGCAATTGTACAAGAAAACACTATCAATCATTCATTCATCGGGGCTTCCAAAGTATGCGAACCAAGATGGCGGACATCGGAATGTAATATGTGTATTAATTAGGTTAGGGTTAGGCCATAATAATAAGGTATAAATACTACGGGAGGCTCTTGGCTAGTCTTCGAACTGATAATAGGACTAAAATAAGGAAAATTGGAAATAGGCCGCGAGCCGAGGACATTTATCTTTCAGTTTCGTAGCGCACATCAGGTAACTACCTGAAAATGATTTTAAAATGTTCCTTAGAAATTTAGTAACAAATATTGCCTTGTTCCCACTTCCAAAAGTTGCACGTTTTACAGAAAAGACGCTTTTACTACAATAAATATGTGTTACCATCTGTCCTATTTTCTCTGCTTTTCCGGTATCATGGGCCAATGAACGCAGACTTCTGCACGACGTAACAGTCAAGTTAGTCAGCTGTAGGTGGATCCCCAGTGGTCGGATGAATATCAGATGTACTATAACTGCTCGCTTTTGCGTTGAGTAGCCTTTCCATAGTTTTTTTCAGTTGCCGGTAATATTAGTTCAGTTATTCTAAGGAGGTGTTGAAAAGTATGGGTAAGATATTAAACACTTGTATATCCTTACCATAAATAGCAATATTAGTTGAGCACTAGCTCATAAGACGTTGTTAAATAGGTACGGATCGGTAACTCCAAGGAAGGCTAGACCTAGAAGCTAGAATACGGTAATATGTCACAAACAACGATATTTTCTGGCTTGCATGAAATGTTTATGATTAATTTAATGACTCTTCTTGACTATTCAGCAGACTTATACTACTATATAGGCCACAGCATATTTGGAAATATAAATGAATGGCTGTTTCTGTAATGCACGATTGTGTGAAAGAGAAGAAATTATTCAATTTCACTAATGTCGGTTGGTCTAAATCTAAATTCATAGAGTCGACAAGAACCTGGGAAGCAATGATAAGTTATGCCGGAGTGGAAAGAAAGGTAGCATTGGAAACGATTGAGAGGTGAGAAATCAAGTTGTAGACAAACAGTTGATGTTTCAAAATATAGTCTATAGTCCATACTCATACTGTCATAGGACATTTCAGACTGTGATATATCAAAATTTAGTGTAGATATAGTCTAGTAATGGTATGCAAACACTGCTGGACTGTAGTACATGCAATGAGCATATATACGCTCATTTAGTACCGGTACATCAGATAAAATGCATTATGTATTCAAGGTATTAGTTAGTGTTTAGGGGTATTTTTAAACTCATGTTGCTCCAAATATTATTTTCTTCCCCATTTTAGATACTGTACTACAAAAGAAAACGGCAATGTTCCACCAATCCGACCTAACGCAGGCTCTGATCCCTGCTGCTATCAGTGCTATAAAATGGATTAAACAAGAAGTCTTGAAGCTTAAAGGTATATGAGAATCATAATAGTTGCAAACAGCTTAGATGGGCTATTCATATTGAAATACTTTAGCACTTTTCTGCAATTGGAACTGCCCATCAAATTCTTGTTGGAGACTTCATTGAGATTTTCAATTCATTTTTTCCCCTCGACTATGAAGATCTTTTGAGGTTAACGAGGCATTATTAAATAAAGCTGAGGAATTTGAAGAGGATATGAAGAATGTAAATGATACCAGGGCACGTCTATTTAACACTGTCAAACATAAAGATTATACTCTCCACCCAACAATGATTCACTGAAGAAGCATGTGGCCCTCAAATCAGTTCTTGAGTTGGCAAACTGCAAGTGTAAGAAAAATAGTCAAAATAATTTATGAAAGTGTGCCAAAATCAACTTAAATTGCACAGATTTTTGTTTTTGTATTGACTGCAAAAATCACAGTACACTTATAGAGGAAAAGTCAATTTTTGAGATAGTGGATTTCGAAAACAATTCAGAAGAAAGTGAATTAGATATTACAGTTGATTTAATAAGTATCATTTATTTGTTGTTTTTTCGGACATTTGTTAGTGTCGTAGTCCTGTTTCTAGAAATATTATTGCCTTTGTTCAAATACATAACCACATAAACTAAAAAAAGATTAATTGTAAATTGTAATATTTCTGTTCACTATTTTATGTACATATTGTACATTCATTTAATTTTCTTGACTTTTGCTGTAAATTTCTAAGTGAGAAATAACTGATTTATTTGTGTTTTCGTGCTCACGATTTTAATTTGTGACTTCATTGCTTAAAAATAAATACGTTTGATAGCCTCTATAAAATGGATGTAGCTTTTTATGCTGTTCTTGTTGTAAACTGCTTGTGGTTATTACATAAAATTTATTCGCAAATGTGAATCAGCGTTGTTGGTGTCGCTGCTTTCGAGCTCACTCCCAACTCCTGTCACACAATTAAAGTATTTTTTGTTGTTGGTTACATGTTTGCCATATTTTTCGTAATCTACCTAATAAATTATGATTGACTGAGGAAGTCCGATTTTGGTCAGGCAAAACATTACAGGAATACATTTGTGTTAGTGTGCTGTAGGGCTCTCGAATTGCATAGTTCTTATGTATGTGTTGTGAACTTATGGTTATTGAATTTCCGGGAACCTCTTATATTCAATTTCGCACCAGGATTGTGGAACAAGCTGTAATGCGTTCATTATGTTCGTTTTCACACAAAACTGAAGAATTTATTTAGTTACGGTACCAGATGTGCGCTACGAAACTCATTTTCTGGGCGTTTTCATGGCTTCGTCTCACGGCCCATATCCGTGGTAAGGATCTACAAGTGTTTAATAACTTACTTATACATTTTTCAACAACGTCTTAGCATAACTTAACTAATAATAACTAAACAGGGCTATGGAAAGCCTGCCCAACTCAGCGCAAGGTCGAGCAGTAATAACTACAGCATCACCATTTTACGTCAGCGAGTGTTTTTTATTCCACTGTTATGGTATACATACACGTCTCACATTTTAAATTTAATTTAAAAGTATTGCCCGATTTTATATCGTGTTTTTAATCATTGTGTTTTGACTGTTTTGGTGGACGGGCACGTACTTGTACGTTTTTAACTTTTTTATTAAGTTATGCCCGTCCTCCAGGTCCTCTGTATTTTGTTTGTCCGTTTGTTGTTGTTTTGTGTTTTGTTTCGATCAGAGTGGCCAAATAAAAATGATTGATTGATTGATTGAACTAATATTCATCCGCTCGCTAACAGCTGGTTTAATTCAATTGTTACGTCATGCAGAAGTCATTATTCCATGCCGAAAATGTAGAGAATATAGGACAGATCGTAGCACATATTTCTTGTAGTAAAAGCGTCTTTTCCGTAAAACGTGCAACTTTTGGAAGTGGGAACAAGGCAATATTTGTTACTAAATTTTTAAGGAACATTTTAAAATCATTTTCAGGTAGTTACCTGATGTGCGCTACGAAACTCACTTTCTAGGCGTTTTTCAGGGCCTCGGCTCGCGGCCTAAAAGAAATTATCCCCTAACCTGTTACCCATGTTACGTTCCGATGTCCGCCATCTTAGTTCGCATACTTCGGGAGCACCCATTCACCAGTATCAGTATTGGCTGATTCAAGAAACATTTTGTTGAGGTATTCAGGGTCAAGAATTTTGGTAAGTGCCTGGGCTTCAGCTTTTTCTGTATGAAGGGGAACAACTAACTCAGATATTTCAGAATCAGAGAGATAAGAGAATGGCATACAGTCTATTTCACAAAGGAAACAGCACCAAGGTATTTCATCAGCTTCAGATTTAAGATTTACATATTGTTGTCCATTTTAAATGTATCCAAGAAGAACAAATATCACAATGGACCTTTCCCCGAGCATCGACTTCCTTGTTTACTTCGTGACATTGGCCAATCAGCAAAATGCAAAAAGTGACGTAACAATGCTCCCTTTTCGCATCCGCTCAGACACTTTTCTCACTCAGACAGATTTTCAAGCGTGGTCGTAAACATTACCTCGTTTTCGCACTTTTGAACTCTATTCGTTAGTTTTCAGTTATGTTTTGGAAACTTAAATGTAAATCAGATAATTCAATGGTCACCCTGTCTTCCTAGGAGTTTCAATTTAATTGCAGTAATAAAAATTAGTGTAGAAATAGCTGTGATAGATTAGGCTAAAATTTTTCAACGGTACTTTTAAAAAACAGGTTGTTGTATGCGATGAAATGGTTTGAAACACATACCCCATTTCACAGGCGCCAACTCGCAAAAGCACTCTTAAAATAGCCCCGAAAATTTTGCAATAGTAAACTATAGGAAGAATTTTTCGGGCGTCAAAGGTCGGGGAAAGGTCCATAAAGAGCTTTTTGATTGATTCGAATTTGCCATTGTTACGTCATCGTTGACTTATTGCTGATTTGTCATTGTTACGGAAAATAAACAAGGAACTCGATGTTCAGGGAAAGTGGAAAACATTCATTAAAACTATTTTGATGCAACCGCGACATCTCGTGTGTGATTGTACTTGACATAGAAATATTAGCACTAGGCCTACCATTATTTATCTTTCACTAAAGTTAGAACAACACACTACAAGAAGTACCGGTACGTTTTCCTCAGCTGCAAGGGCAGAACATTGAAGTTACCGGTACCTTTTAAATGGCATTTTGAGCTGAAGGGTCTGAAACTGAAAGTGCGATCCATACTGCTGTACTGACTAATAGTATTTCGGTATTAATAGATTTTTTCCCATTATTGCATTAGTTCTGTAGTTTAACAGTACTCAGAATGGAGGTTTCTGCAAGTGGAGATAACAATATTACACCCACGGAACGACTCGCCATGATTGAAGAACAAGAACTGGATGCCCCCCAGGTACCGTATTTCAGTACCGGTATTTTGATTTAAACCTTTTAAGCTGGGAAACCAATAGACACAGACTGACACAATGATTTTTTAGATTTATCTACTTTAGTACCCACACCAACTTACAGACTTAGGAAACACCAAACCAAGAGTGAAGAAATAGACCTACAGATATAGCAACGAATGCCTTTTTATTTCAGAATGAAATTATTTTGATCAAATGTCTCTTCTGATCTTATTGTGTCTCTGTGATTGTGTGTGCATGCATGCTCTAATTAGTTTTATTACTTTTGGGTGAGCGAACATGTACTACTTCGTTTAACAATACCTCTCCATCTAAAATTTGTACGCTTTAAACCTTACTTGAGGTTTTGTTTGCTCTCCCGATCAGTTTTCATTACTGTTAAATTTAGCTCTTATAGCCTACTGAGTAATGCGAGAACTATCGAAAAAAGTATTTCTTAACATATTGAAATTATTGATCACTATCTTAAAAGCAACCATGTTATATAGTTATGTTGTTCAATCCCACTAAATAAGCTGCACCATAAACACCAACATAAGCAAGTTCCTAGTAGTCAACTGTATTTTATTACTACCAGGGTCAACTTCCTGGTGAAGTTTACTGTGAACTCCTTGCATTATACATATACCACGAGGACTTAAACAACAGCAAATTATTATGGAAGCGCATTCCAACACAATGCAAAACGGAATTGGCTGAACTGAAGGCATTGTGGGAAGTATGCAAAGCATTCTGGCAAAAGGATTCTGCAAGTAAGTCGACCCATAATGGAATGATTGGTAAAAGAAATTAGTGATTAGAATGAAGTACTGTGATCACCATGTGCATCATCCCTCTCATTTAATGTAATCAGTTCTACATGCTATAGTGTTTTTCTAACGCAGGAATAGCTGAGACAAGCAAGTCTGTTTGAATTGGTTTTTATTCAAGGTAGACTGTAAAATTCTTAAGAAAAAGGGCCTTTGCACATAGTGGAAATTGCATTGAACAAAATTTGATTTAATAATAATTTTATATTTTACTTTCAAGGTGTATTCCAACAATGCTCTGCGTACACTTGGAGTGAAATAATACAAAAGATAATTGATGATATTATGAAGAAGCATAAAGAAAAATGCATCTGCCTGATATCACAATCATATTCATCCATTGGCACAGAAACCTCTTCAGCTCTACTCGGTGTGTACAGTACATATGTTATCGATTTGATTCACAGAAATTGAGACTTCTCAAGGTTTCTTCATACTTTCTAACAACAACTTGCCTTTTTGGACAATTTCGCTCATTATTTGTTAGGCCACAAGAAGTTTCAACAATGTCTTTAAGGAAGCTTCAATATCAATCTTACACTTAAAATCAATTCTGATGATAGGGAGTTTCCAACTCGCATATTACTTAATAAATGATTGGAGATTTACTGCTTCTCAAATATTTTTAGGTTTCATACATTCAAGTTGAATTGACTTTTATTTTAAGGTTGTACTACCCAAGAAGCATTAGAACTTGCTGTAAGTATGGGGTGGACTGTTTCCGGAGACCAGAAGTTTATCATGCCTCTCCTCGCAAAACGACAGGAAGGATCACCTGTTAATAATGAAGCTTATTTACAAAAGTTAACTCAGTATATTTCATTTTTAGAGACCTGAACTGTTATTTTTGATATTTCTATTTCTGGAATATAGTCTCATGCTTGTAACAGTCTCTTTGCGGCTAGTTGCACCTTAAATATCTTGAACAAAGCACCACATAGCTCGCTGTTCAACCAGCATTGCAGGGTGTCTTATCAGCTCACAATTGACCAGGAATGGTGTCATTGTCCATTATGTCTATTGCTGCTACCAGGAGATAACGTCATATTCCCAACTTGATTTTCAATTTCTGTTATAGTCTCTTTTAACATCTGCACCCTTTTCTGGGCTGTGTAGCAGGAGCCTTCATGTTGCTGTCCAGTTGCAACCTAGCAAAGAATTAAAAAAACATTGTTCAAATATAACCTTTGTGGAACATCTTGCATCATCTGTTATCTATACTTCCAAGGGTTTGCTCGTAGAAGAGATACGTTATGTATACCCCTAATCCAGCTTTTTCGGCCGACTTTTTCGGTGTATAATGGACTTTTCTGTCGCACAGTATTCAATCCATGACAACGACGAGAATTTAAAATGGGTTTCTATTTTAATTTATTTGTGTTCATCATGGTAACTTGCGGTAGCGTAGACTTACGATGAGATGAAAGCATCACTTTTTTAAAATTCCCATGCCATCTGCGAACATAATAATGAGAGAATATATTGCCTGATTATATTCATCTTTGATATATATCTATTTTTTGTGATCTTGTGAATTTGTTATCGCTGTTAGAAAAAATTATACTATCTGCTATAAATTTCCAGAATGTACCGACTTAATTTAGTATTTATTAAAAACATATTTAAGGTATATATATTAGTAAATCAAAAATACATTTTCATCGCCTTGAAATTCTCTCGAACAACTTCTGAAGTAATCGTCGCGTATCCGTCACTCGTTAAAGAGCAGACTTTTCAATGATTTTTTCTTTTGCATAAAATATTCAATCCATCTACATGTATGATTCTTTTAATCTACAGTTGTGTTGACGAAATAAGAGCTATACTACTCAGAAAATACCATGACAATCCATGGACGCAAAAATGCATGGTAAAGTGCCCGATTATATCTTGTTTTGATTCGTATTTTTGAGAATTCAACATTACTACTGTGCGACATTACTAATGTAGAGGCAGAGAAGCCTAAAGGAAAATGCCCTGGTAAGTATACTACGGTAGCACCCGAAATTTTGCGATTTGCAATGTCTAAAAAAGCGTTTTCAATCGGTCGCGGACCGCTCTTCAATTTAGAAAATTTGGGTTGCCACCATTTACACCTACCAAAAAAATTATTTATTCCCCGTTGTTCGAACTCGCGAGAAACACCTATTACGAATCTATCGAAGCGTGTACAGACTCTTGTTTTTCGTCGGAAATCCACAAGTGAGTTGTGAAATCCAGTCGTTTGATTAAGCGACTTGCAAGTGACCTGTCGCGTCACGTGTTACCAAATTTTCGTTTAGTAAATGTGCTATTCGAATATATGCCCAGCCGTAATTATTGACGCCATTAATGTCTTGTGAATAAACTGACTTTTTATGTGTTTTTTTTGTAAATTCTAACTTGGCTGATAGTTAATTAAGTTTCGCAAAAAAGTTTGCGGCCCGCAGTGAATTTCTGTCTCGTTGCGGACTCATTTGAGACCGTGGACTCTGGTTGGGAAACACTGCCCTAATCCCTGAATAAATTGTTGGCAAGTAATCAAGGGTGAATGCTAAATTTTAAATTGGTATAACTGTGGTTAGAGGTATATTATCTTCACCTGTGTTAAATAATTTATCTGCATCAGCATATCAGTTTCAACTTCTTCCAATGCCTTCATATAGCTTGCTGAATGTTTTTCAACATTTTTTTCCATCGGTCTATCTTTACCCAATTCTTGAAGTGCCAGTGCTAGAAGTGTAAAACAATATGAATTTTTGTGGTATTGCCCTTTAGCTATATCATTACTTATCGATCTTAAGATCGGTAAGTATATTGATAGGTATTTGTCTGTATGTATGTATGTTAGATGAACGCGATATCTCACGAACGCGTGGTTGAATCTGCTCCAAATTTTGCATGTGAATGCATCTTACCTCGGACCAGAACCCTATAGATTTTGGGTTAATTATGTCGTATAATTAGCGAGTTATTAACTAATTACCGATCTAAGATCGATAAGTCTCCGACCGATATTCTCGTTTGTAGTCTTGTCAGGATTATTGGAATGAACGAAATATACTGGTTGATAATACACTGTAGACATGTTGATGAGGTTCAGAAAAAGTAATTTACCTGCATTGTTTAAAGCACTGGTTATCTTTTTTTCAATCTCTTCCAATGCTTTCAGTCTATCAGGTACATTTTCAGAGTTCATCTCTCGAGAATAAAAAACCTAATTAAAGTTCAGAAGCTTTGGGATGGGCCTAAAAATATTGAATAAGAGTACTTGCTTCTGAAGGAAGGAAAAGGTGACATAATTTTTATAATTCCCTATAATAAGAGAGCGATACTCAAATACATGGACACCAAGTCCAAATCGAACTGCCAAACGTAACCGCTACAAGGTTCGCAATTTTTTATGACAACGTCAACTAAAAAGTTTAAAGCAATTAATAAGAAAAGCGATTTTTTTTTACAAGAAAACTAAATACTAACAACATGATGACCAACAACCACATAATAAAAAAAACGATCCCTGGTCCACTCCGTGTCTAAAAAGTTAGCTTGCCGACCCCAAGTCCGCTGCAGATTCCTTCACCACCCATGCATATGAACATTCGACTAGTCACTGCATGTGAGGTAGTGATTTGACATACGATTAATATGAAATATCTTACTTATTCTCACGCTAGCAAAGCCTTCCTGCTTAATATACCTATCCTGTCCAATTGCCTCAATCCTGTTCAAGTAACAGCCATATAACGCCTGAAGTTAGCGGAATTACGACAGTTGTGGCCTGGTGGCGAGACTTATTTTCCAGTACCGTACTAAGCCCATTAGAGTAATCTGGCGTCGCGGGTTTCATTTTGTGATGATCAATAGACATTTTTTGAGAATTGGAAATGACATTATCCGTTAATAAAGGTTTACATTTGACGCCAAAGATCTTCGGTTTATCGCAATGTCACAAAATAAACATTCAATTAGGTACATATTGCTGGCATATACTGCACATATTGAATTGTTCATTATTACTGCAATAGCTTGGGTGTTTAGAAAGTATAACAGCCGGAGAAAGTTCAATACATTCAAGAATCTTTTGTTTGATTATTTCTGGCCCTAGCCTCGTTTTTACTAGGTTTATGTTTTAGTATAAGTTTGTTTTTTGTAATTTAATTTTGTGTGTGTGCTGGTTGACGGGCACATGATATCTCTCGTGTTTCAAAGGTTTTGCTCGCCCTCCAGAATTCTCCATTTTAAATTTTTGTATATTACAGAGTATTCAAATAAAACCGGTGTCATCTTGCCACAATTTCAGCACAAAAAATACAACTTTACATCCGGGTGTCATAGCGAAAAAAATACCTGTTGCCACATTTAAAACAATATAAGATAAGGCCATTTCAGCTGGTGAAAATACAAATTACAATACAGCATTTGTGAATGAGACATTTATAACATTATAAACATGAATGAAACGAAGTCTTGATTGCTCATTCAGAAAATCGACATAATAAATTCAACATCTACAACAAAAAATTAAAACCTAAAAACTTTAACTTCAGAAAAAATTTCCATTGAGGGAAATAATCCAATGAATATTTTTGAACATGTAACCTTATGCAGTAACAAATAGAATACGTATTCTGAAAGCCAATATATCATATAGAAATTTTTGATAAATAGTAAGTGAGAGTCACGATAATAGAAAACGACATAAGCAATTTTGCTGTAGCAAAAAATTGTGCAGTGGAGGAAAATTTCCCAAAGCATTTCTGAAAAGGGATTCTAATGCAGTACATATAGAATAAATATTCAAAATAATATTCCTAAAAGCAACAAAACAGATGGAAATTTCCGATACAAAGTAAGTGAAAGTAATGAATATTGAAAACAACAAAAGCAATTTGGATGTAGTCTCAACATGATTTCTGAACGTGGAATCGAATGCAGTAAACATAGAATTAGTTAAATATTCATAAAAATATTTGGAAAGCCAACATGACATATTGAAATTTCCGATATGTACTTAGCGAGAGTTACGATTATAGAAAAATCCAATTCGCTGTAGCGAAAAATTGTGCATTAAAGGAAAAGTTTCAACATGATTTCTGAACGTGGAATGTAATGCATTAACACATAGAATTAGTTAAATATTCAAAAAAATGTTTGGAAAGCCAACATGACATATTGAAATTTCCTATATGTACTTAGCGAGAGTTACGATTATAGAAAACGGCCATATCCAATTCGCTGTAGCGAAAAATTGTGCATTAAAGGAAAAGTTTCAACTTGATTTCTGAACATGGAATGTAATGCATTAACACATAGAATTAGTTAAATATTCAAAAAAATATTTGGAAAGACAACATGACATATTGAAATTTCCGATATGTACTTAGCGAGAGTTACGATTATAGAAAACGGCCATATCCAATTCGCTGTAGCGAAAATTTGTGCATTAAAGGAAAAGTTTCAACTTGATTTCTGAACGTGGAATGTAATGCATTAACACATGGAATTAGTTAAATATTCAAAAAATATTTGGGAAGCCAACATGACATATTGAAATTTCCGATATGTACTTAGCGAGAGTTACGATTATAGAAAACGGCCCTATCCAAATCGCTGGAGCGAAAAATTGTGAATTAAAGGAAAAGTTTCTACCTGATTTCTGAACGTGGAATCTAATGCAGTAAACATAAAATAAGTTGAAAAATCAAAATAATTTTCTGAAAGCCAGCATAACATATTGAAATTTCCGATAAAAACGGGGGAATCCATTCGACTAACTAATAGACTTCAGCATTTTAATTTCGAGTCAATGATTAGTTTTCAATGAAAAATTTTCTTTGAAAATAATTAATTTTTAAAACATTAACGGGAGCCGCAGGGAAGATTGTTGAGAGCCGCATGCAGCTCTCAAACCCTAGTTTGAGAATCACTGGTCTAACCTGTTTCAAAAATATAGAGCCCTAGAAATGTTAGGCCGAGGTGTTTTGCACTGCCAAACATATTCATATACATTTATATATATTCGACTGTTTATTCTATCACAATGTTCATTATTCCATTGTCAATTGTGTTGTCATGAAGGGATATCAGTTTCCCAATGCCGGTTCATTAGTACTGGGAAGTTGTACGGTATTTTCTCTTAAACTCCTACTTAGAAACTCAATTTACTGAATCTGATTATTTGCTCTTGATATTCCGTCATTTTGAGACATCATTGCGGATAAGGAAACGGTTGATGTTAGCATATTATTTTTACATGACTCTTACCCAACTGCAATTTGCTCGTGCTCATGGTATGCTTGTATATGCTAAGGAATTGTCACATAAGTGGATTTTTTTTGGATGAAGTAAGTACAACTTTCTATAACACATTGATTTCCAACTTGGGTACTCGCGAAGCTATTTTCGGGAGGTCGCAGAACAAAATAATTTTATGCCTGTAAGAATTTTATGTACCAATTTAAATCAGTGGTGGAAAAAATTGTTGTAAATAGGTGGAAAAATTAAACTGATTTTTACGGCCTAGAGCTTCTTATTCTACAGTCTAGAGTAGACCATTGGTCGGCAACCTTTTGTCGCTCGCGGTCCAAAATTAAGGGTTGCAAGTCATCGGCGGGCCGCACATATTTTAAAAAATTTAAAAACCGAACAGATGTAAAGGGCTTCCTGTTCATCTTTTAGTGTTAATGCAATTTGCAATCTGTATATTTGAAGTCTACAGAAGGCAAACTTCTGAAATGAGTAACATAAAAGTACGAGTTACGCATTTCCATTACCATATTTTCTGGTACCACCCTGACCGATTTTGACTCCCGCTTTTTTCTGGTCGAAAGCTAATCCACCTAAATAATTCGAACCCAGTGAATCAGGTTGAAAAATTGGATCTTGAAAATCGGCCTAATATCCGGAAAAACGGTTCTCAATAAATAGCAGTGATAGTGCATTCGTTTTCTAATTGAAACTTACGTCTCTATGAATTTTAGAATTGATAATCTACCTTTCACGCCGAGTAAAAGTAGACGTAGTAACGCACTGGTTTACATACTCACATGCTAATGAACATAATTTTCACAATATCTGTTAATTTTTTACAGGAAATTTTCGAACCTTATTTCTAATAGCTACGGAGAACATTTACTGAAATGAGAAGACAGGTGCGGTAATATTTATTGGCAATGAAGCATAATAATTAATAACTATAAGTTACTATCTTAAAAAACTTTATGTACATAACAAATGAGGTCGCTCCCGTAGTATATGAACCAAGATGTCGGACACCGGAACGTAGTATGTGTACCAGTTTAGGGTTAGACCATAATTTTATTCTAATTTCCCTTATTTTAATTCTATTACGAGTTCGGGGACTAGTCAAGTGACTCTCGTAATATTTTGTACCTGAAATTATGGCCAAACCCTAACCTAGTACATATGCTACGTTCCGGTGTCTGCCATCTTGGTTCACACACTAGGGGAGTACCCAAATGAGTAATTTTTAATGTCGTAATTATGATTAACATTAATAGCTTCGCAATAAATTATTATTTTACAGAAGTTTGTCCTATTGAAAGCTCTGTTGTTCAGCATCATAGTTCTATCAACTGCGGGTGAAAAGTCGGATTCTGGTACAGGTGCTCATAAATTTAGAAAGAAAAATAGACGTATTTGTCTTGCTATTAGCGAATATTTTAAAGTAAATGGGATACAAAATTTCGAATTGCCTCTCCACAGGAAAAAATTTCTTCAATTGCACAGTTTTTGGAAAAATCTCTCTAGTACTGCGAGGATTCGATCATTTCTTGTATTTTTCACGAATCATGTTCATATGATATTGCAATCATGCAAAAATATAGTTCGTAGCAATGAAAAATCCCTTCATAATGCTGAAATTTGCGATCGACCGATTTTAAAACGATTTGAAAATGTACCGGAAAAGCAAGATGTGAATATTCGTATTAACAGATCACTCTGTGAACAAGACCAAACCATAGATATCGAAAACAATACTCCTACTTATTGCTTTTGTAACAGAAAGTGGTATGGTGAGATGATGATTCAGTGTGACACGTGTGAAAAATGGTTTCATCCTGCTTGCGTTTTCCCATGCTCATCAGAAGTAATTTCTTTGGACTACAAATGGGAAAGCACCCCCTTTGTATGTGCTGGCAAAAAGGTAGAGGTTAAATCTGGAATTCAAAAAATATGTTATCATCATATCTCAGAAAATAAAGGTCAAATAGTAGATGTCGAAGAACCAAAATTTAAAACACAAAATGTATTACCTAACTATAATACCACCAATAATAGGGATATATGCGAGGAAGTGAAATATGATGAAGAAATATTTGATAGCGCTGATTACACTGGTACTGGTAGAACTATAGACATATAAAATAAATTTGGAATTCAAAGAATATTTTATGATCATCCCTCCGAAAGGAAAAGCCCAATAGCACATGACGTAAAACCAAAATGCGAAACTCGAAGTGTATTTCCTAGCTCTAATACTACTAGTGATTCACCAGTTAGTAATGAAGACGAGGAAGAAATATGTAATATCACTACTAATTACGATGAGAGTAATTCGTCCAATGAAAGTTTAATCGACTTTGTAGAAAGTGAGATTATAACTGATAAAAAAATTGTCAGAACTAAATACATAAATATTGATGAAGAGATTCCCGTCGAGTTGCCGACTTGGAAAAAAATAATCGAAAATCGGAAAGAACATAGTTTTGGTCATGGCCAATATATAGAGTTTCTTGTGGAAAATATCACAAAACTATATACTGGTTGCGTTCCTTGTGTTTTAAATCACTATTTGACACACGCAAAAAGTAAAAAAAATAGTGGCGAGGGTCAGCGCGTGAGGGTCGTGTAAACTTTTA